AAAATGTTTCCCCTTCATTTTATTTTATTTTATTTTTATTTTTATTTTTTTTCAGTAGACGGGCATCCTTGTGATAAGAGCTGAAACCTAAACCTTCTTTAGAAAATGTATCTTGCTCTTTGCCAAGTGTAATTCCTAAATTCTCTCTACCTTGGGTGAATTTTGCCAAAATGTCAACTTGATCTTCAATGGTTCTTTTTAGACATTCATTTTCTAAGATTAGGTCAAGAGACGATATTTCTGTTAAAAGGGAACATTCCTTTTCCTCCTTGAGGGAGACAAGTTATCTTTCAACCTTTGACAGTTTGAGAGAGAGGATGGAAGTTTCTCTTTTAATAGATGCACTCTTTAGCATTGATTTCCTTAATTCGTCATGTAGGTCTTTAAAAACATCTTTCAAGTCATTGTATGATTCTACTATTATCATCATATGACGGAAGAGAATTTGAATAAGATTCAGAATTAGAGGATACCTCATCATCAAAAGCCATAAGATAGAGATTTGCAATCTTTATTTCGTCATCACCTTCAGAGGCATCAGATTCATCACCGTCCCATTTAGCTTGCATGGCTGCCTTCTTTTTCCTATTCTCTTGGAAGATTTTGTACTTGGCACAGTCGGATTTGTAATGTCCAGGCTTTCCACAGTGAAAGCATGTTGGATTCTCCCTTCTGTTTTGTCCATTTGAGGATTCACCTTTTCTCATTGGATTTCTTTGTTTAAGTTTTCGTGTTTGAAGTATTCTTTTGAAGGCTTGAGTAATGAGAGCAATATCCTCATCTTCTTTCTCAATAGATTCATCCATGTCGTCATAGTTGGCAGCTTGAAGAGCCAAACCCTTCTTTTGATTTGATTCGCCCTTTCTACTTTTTAGTGTTATTCCCCAGGTGAGGAGGGATCAAAGAAGTTCATCTATCCTAAGCGTGTTGAGATTATGTGTTTCTTTAATTGCAACAGCCTTAGCATCCCATTTGGTAGGTAGACTTGCGGAGAATTTTCCTTGCAATATCATAGAGAGAGATATTTCTACCAAGATGCTTTAAATTGTTAATAATGTCGGTGAATCGAATAAACATATCACTAATAGATTCATTTTCGTTCATAAGAAAAAGTTCATATTGATGCATGAGTAGATCAATTCTAGATTCACGAACTTCAAAGGTGCCTTCATAGGTAATCTCTAACTTATACCAAATTTCTTTGGCAGTGTTACACGTTGAAACTCTATTATATTCAGAGGGGCTAAGGGCACAATTTAAGTTTACCTTTGCCCTTGCGTTAATGGAGATGAGCTTGTAATTAGTGTCATTCCATTCACTCAACTCTTTTGGCTTATTGACTTTGTCTACTTCTTTCATAGGAATACAAGGGCCATTAATTATAACATGCCAAATTTGATAATCTATAGCTTGAAGAAAATCCCTCATTCTGTTTTTCTAATAACTATAGTTGGTTCCATCAAACCAACGAGGTCAGTGGTACCGTTAACATTAGCGATGATCGATTCTCTAAGATGGTTAGATCTTTATGCTAGAGATTAGGTCAGTGTTATGAGTTTGTTTTTCAAAAATAGATATTGAAAAACAATTAATATTAATTAAGATGCAAAGTAAAGAGAGAGACAAGCAAACTCATAACACCAAGATTTAGCGAGGTTCGGAAACTCTTACTCCTCGGCTCAGATCCCTCCTGAGACTTCCCAAAACCCAATATGGCTTCTCCTTAAGGGTGGAGAGCAAACCGGTACAAGAAGCACACCGCTTTTGAATCTTCTTGCTAAGAGAACAAACCTCTTTCTTAGACTTCTTCTGGGTTACAGCAACCTGTACAACAATATTTTGAAGGACACAATTGAATAACAAAGAAACTCTTTGAATTTGATACGCAGATCAAAGCTCACACGCCTATTGTAGATTTAGAATATAGTGAAAGGTTTAAAGCTTAAATGATATGAATGAGACAATGATCAATGCAAGTTTCTTTATGATCACAAGGTTTTTCTCTCGAAGTGTAAGAAGTATATTATAATCAAAACCTTGATGTGTCTATATAGAGGTTCATATGGCATTAGATAGGATTTAAAAGCCTTGCCAAGAATACCGTTACAGGCAAAAGAAATCTGACTTTTTACCCATTTGATCGATCACATGAGTCATCTGTGTGATGACTTGGTCTTGAGTGATCGGACACATGCTTCATCTGTTTGGGCAGTTGGAGCATCTGATTGGTTAGATAATGGAACAGATCGGTAGGATTAGATCCTATTTCCCCGCACTTTCTAAGTTTTGAATCATGTTATCGGTTACATCAATTGATCTGAACGATCACTTGGTTAAATCACAAACTTTCAAGTTCATTGGATTCTTCATCCTATCGATGGAGTGATCTGATCGATCACATCCTTTCATCTGATCGGTTACATAGATGAAGTGATCGGTTACATGCTGTCTCAGAAATTTGAAACTTCACTGTTTTGGCATCGTATCGATACTATGAGGTGATCTGATCAATCACTTGGATCAATCTGATCGGTTACATGACTGAAGTGATCGATTACATCAGACACCATATTTTTTCATTTGATTCATTTATCTGATCGGTTACTTTAGCCATCTGATCGGTTAGTTTGAGTAAGATTACTTAGTTTGCATGAAGTATGAAATGATGCAAGATGAATGACAGTTTGAGCTTTAAACCAAAGGCTATAAACTATCTTGCCTTGCATATAATCTACTCTCACTATTCTATACTATCCCTGCTGATGATATATACGCTCTCCTTTGTGCTTTCCATTCCATGGTGTTTCCATGCCTTGTTCTTAATGATGATCCTGTTTTGCTGCATCTCAATATAGATATGTTAAATGCACTTTTCATCTTTGTTTGTAATCATCAAAATAGTAAGAGGTGTAAATTAAAGGCATTTGTGCCAACAATACTGTTGGAGATGTGGAAACGGTGAACACCATGCTACTAAACACATCGGCAGCCCAACAAGGTAAAGGATGATGCTACCGAACACACCGACATCCCAACAAGGTAAAGGACAATGCTACCGAACATACCGACAACCTAAACAAGGCACAAATAGCATCGAGAGACCCTTAGCACATGTCAAATGCTAAGAGGATACCCCCAAATATGGGTTCTTAACCTGGGAGGAGAGCTTCCATATACTGGATCGATTCATCCGAGAGATGAAAAAGAGAAACAAAGCTGGAAATACTGGAACAACGCCAGGAAAAAGGCCGTGCAATATTCTCTTGGGCGAAAACAGAGAGCTCCAACAAAACATAAACCTTAAACAACACAAAACAGAAAGCTCCAACAAAATCAAACGACGAAAGAGAAATTTAAAAAATGATGCCTTGAGATGGCGTGGTGGCTGAACCTTAGACCGCCGCCGGAGATGAGGCTTATGCTGCCATCTCCGGCAGTGGCTCTGATACCAAATTGAATTATATGATAAGTGGTTCTGATACCAAAAAGTAACTTGGTAAAATTGGCGTTCTCAATTTGAGAGCCTCACTATCAATCATTATATATAAAAGGAAAATTACAAATATTGAAAGTGAATAAAAATAAAATCAGAATAAAAATCAAATCCCTAAATAAAAAACTTAACATTAACCTATAATGAAGACCCAATAAATCTGCCACAATCATCGAGTTAACTTATAAACATGATTTCCGACTGTTTTGGACCACCTGGGAGGAGAGCTTCCATATACTGGATCGATTCATCCGAGAGATGAAAAAGAGAAACAAAGCTGGAAATACTGGAACAACGCCAGGAAAAAGGCCGTGCAATATTCTCTTGGGCGAAAACAGAGAGCTCCAACAAAACATAAACCTTAAACAACACAAAACAGAAAGCTCCAACAAAATCAAACGACGGAAGAGAAATTTAAAAAATGATGCCTTGAGATGGCGTGGTGGCTGAACCTTAGACCGCCGCCGGAGATGATGCTTATGCTGCCATCTCCGGCAGTGGCTCTGATACCAAATTGAATTATATGATAAGTGGTTCTGATACCAAAAAGTAACTTGGTAAAATTGGCGTTCTCAATTTGAGAGCCTCACTATCAATCATTATATATAAAAGGAAAATTACAAATATTGAAAGTGAATAAAAATAAAATCAGAATAAAAATCAAATCCCTAAATAAAAAACTTAACATTAACCTATAATGAAGACCTAATAAATCTGCCACAATCATCGAGTTAACTTATAAACATGATTTCCGATTGTTTTGGACCACCCCCCCCCCCCAAAAAAAAGAACCTTTTTATGTACATTTATGTGTTTTCAGCTAAAAAAAGCAAAACAAATCTTTCGAATTCTTCCCCAAACGAGTCCTTATTTTAGGTTTTTATTTGGTATTAGTGTTTGATTAGGGTTTTATTTCATTGCTATATATGTAGGGCTTGGTACATTGAGTTGGACACTGTTTGATGATTATTAATTAATAAGCATATTGATATGGTGATTTTCTCCCTCTATATTCTTTCCCTCTCCTATCTTTCTTCTCTTCTCCTCTCTTTTCTTTTGGTTCTACATCAATTTGATATTAGAGCATTCCCAGAAGAAGCAGAACATTTCTTGCCCTACTCTGGCAACATTATAATTTTTTTTTTTTTTTTTTTTTTCAAGACCGGGGACCAAAAAGTCATCCCATATGTTGATATTCAGACCATATCCAACAACCAACCCATCTAGGTCCCACAATAATTTGTTGGGTGGACCATATGCTTCTCCACGCCCTGCTTAGATGAAGATCAAAACATGTGTGGCTTTATTGAATCTCTTTCAGCCGCTAGTTGGCAGCGTCTCTATATTTGTGGATCATTGGTTTTATGGGTTGTGATTTAGGAAATGCCCTTTTTTATTTATTTATTTATTTTTCATTTTCTTTTTGTTAATATCAGCAAGAAATTTGACTCTCGCCCTCAAAAATTTTAGTCTCTTGCTCATTTTATGTTCACTTTTACTGTTTTAGGGTCCAAGAAGGAAGATACTTGCGGCATTAAATTCTAAACTTGGACATTTGGGAGTTGACTAGGTTCCTTTGCTTGTTCGCGTGGAGGTCAATGTTTGGACTAACATCTTGCAATTCATCCGGCCTGTGTTTTAACTCGTGTGACCTTGCTTTAACTTTTTGGGATTAATATATTTGTTTATATTGTTGGAAGTGGCTTCAGTAAGGTTATCATTTCTGTTGAACCTTTAGAAGATTGATAGCATCTTTTTGGAGTCATTTGATGTTCAACTTTGGTAATGTCTGCCCATCCCTCTCCATTGTCTTTTCTAGTATATTGATTTTATGTTTATTGATAAATGAATTTGTATTCTGCCATTTTGGGAGGAGGGGGAAGGATGTGTTTAAAGTTAATAGTATAACCGTATTCAGTGCCTCAACTGATGCCAAAGGGTTTCTTTTGACATTTACGTTAACATTTTTTCAAAATTGAAACTCATTTTCAAGAATTTCATCACCTCAAGGTTTCCCGAACTTGTATGAGACACCTCTGTTGATGGAAAAGTAAAAAAATATATATATGTGGGAGAAGGGAAAAGGAACGAAGAGAACTCTCTTTATTGAATTGTGAGAACTTGTTCTTTCGATGATTGTTCTTCCTCCTTGTGACGAGGTCAGGCTCATATAACAAGTACTTGAAGAAGAAAAATTAATTAAATTGATCAGAATATAACCAATAATTGGAAAAATTCAAACTTTTAAACTAAGAATCCTTCTCTCACCCTCCAAATCTATCGTTCCTCACAATGTTGAGTTTGTCATACAGGTAGAAATCTGTCTCCATACACACAAGCACGCGTACATATATATGTTTCTATCGTGCTCTCTCTCTATTTATGTATACGGTATACCATAAGGATTTGTAAATGAAATAATTTTACCTTATTCCTTTATTAGTTAATAATTGTTCTAAATCAGTTGTTATAATAACAGAATGTAATTCAAAAGAAACCAATTACAATCAGATTATGAATGAAAAATACTATGTTAAAAAAAGAGAAACTGAGAAAACCCAATTGCCAAAAAAAAAAAAAAAAACCTCTGAATTAATCTTTCTTTGTCGTCTCAAAACCATTCATTGCTTGACCGTATTGGCAAATTCCATTGCTGAGATTTGATTTGGCTAATCTTATCATCATCAATCGGTTAAGATCTATCAAGCTTCACCAAATTTATCAGGAGGTCTAGCTTGAGTATTGATGAAAAAGGACCCTTGAAAAATTCTGTTGGTCTTGTTGCAAAACCCTGCCGCTTACCATGAGAGGCTAATTTTTATTTCCATGAAAAGTTTTTGATACATATTTTTTCTAATTGATCGATAACTTTTTCCTGCAGACTTTCAAGCATAACACTCATTGAGATAAAAATAGAGTTTGAAAGAGTTATTTTTTCCCAAAATTCGTTGAAACAAAGATAGAGAAGTAGTATTTGAAAGCTTAACAATTTTTTGAAGCTTAACAATTTTTTGCACAAATCTTTTTCCGAGAACTATTTCCGGTCTAAGAGCTCATCATTTACAAAATTGTGCTCTAGAATCATTTACAATGACATAAATGTATGGCTTATCAAGCTCCATCGAATTTCTAGGCTTATTGGTTTATTGTCTCACCAGACTCAACTATTATTCATAATTGTCTCATTTGGAACTCTCAGTCTCTCCATTTGGAAGGAGAGATAATATCTTTGAACTTAAGGTTATTTGGCGACCAAATCAAATATTAAAACAACAAAAATGATCAAAAAAACATTTATAACAAAAAATTTCATCGAAATAGAAAATCCTATTACAATAGTGTTTCTTCTCCGCGCACAAAGGTAGAAACACCAACATCAATTTGACAAGAAAATTATTTGAAAGGTTTCTTTTTCTCCGATGCGAGAATACTGATCTACCATGTTATCAATCTCCATGTTTCTTTCGTTGCAGTCTTTAAATGTAGCCAACAATTTGCAATTACAATAAACATCTTTACAACCATAACATAGCCCTGAGTTAGAAGATGATACCATTAACCTTCAAAATACAATATGGAGACACAACGGTTGCTATAGAGAATCTAAAGAGCCATTTAGATTAACAAGATGCAAGAAGCAATAATAGAAAACAAATTCGAGATGTTAGGAAGCAAATTTTTTTCAATTTCTTTCTCTTTAAAAGTTTCTTTGACATTTTGATTAGGGCTAATTATATGGATCTCCCCTATGGTATGTCATAACGATAGGGACCTCTCCTATGGTTTCAGAAATTACTCGGACCTCCCTCAAAAATGAAACTAACCTACACAAAGCTCCCTTCATTGTGACGGACCGTCAAATGCACTAACGGACCTATCTAATCGACTAAAATGCCCTCGCATTGCTATGACAAATTACTGAAATACCCATTTAGCTTTGACGTCAGTGTGTCAGTTATTTAGCTATACATTTGCCTTAGTTTCGGAGGGAAACTATAGTCAACAATTGCATCTGCTTCCATGACAGACATCTCGTTTCATATTCCTAACCAAAATGAAATCCAAAGTTAGGGTTTCCTAAAATACTGAGAGAGAGAGAGGGAGAGAGCGAGAGAGAGAGAGAGAGAGAGTGTGTGTGTGTGTATTGAGAGAGAAAGAGTATATGTTTTGTTATCCAAAGTTAGGGGTTCTTAATTAACTGAGGATTGCATCAACGAACGGCTTTTCCTCCCAAAGGTAGGATTGCACGGTTTCTGCAAGATCAAATCGAGGAGTTAAGGTTTCTGCGACATCGCATCAAAACAATCAGAACTCCATGCTAATTTTTAGGCAACATCGAAGTGCCCTGGATTATGAGTAAGTGTAAATTTCTAGAATATCAATTTTTTTTATTTTTTTTTTGCAAAATCGATTTCTGATAATGTTTGTTTGTATTTAGTTTAGGGTTGTTGTTTTAATCAATGTAATGACTCAAACCTGAAGGTCCAAACTTTTAACTAGGTCCTAACTCAGTCCATAACTATGTAAGGGCAAAATAGTCATTATGCTCCTTACTATGTAATAAATGTCATAACAATGTCCTACTCATTGTTTCCGACCACATCAAATCGAAAAGGGTGGTAATCTTAACTTCGGGTTAGCTTCGGACCCTAAGATTAACAAGAGTAAAAAGGCCATTTCAAGTCAGAATTATGGGATGAGACCCATACCATTTGAAAGTTTGAAATGAGAGAGATATGATTAAATGAAGTTCGGCTTGAAGACATAAGAGAAAGAGAAAAATCTGGTTAAGGCATTGAGCTATGTCCGGAAGGAAGTGAGCAATTTGAAGAAGAATTGATGAGTCCACCAATGACTAATTCAATAGAGCACAACATGACTTATGAGGACTTTCCTTATTTTGATAATGATTTAATTCTGACCGTTGATACTTTTGAGAGTGAGGAGATGTTGACCACTATAGAGGAAAAGGAGGGAAAACTGGAAGAAAACCTTCATTCTATTCTCTCCAAGGACCCTTTCAAGGAGTGCCTTTTGAAAATGTATGAAAGATGTGGTTTTGACTTTGAAAACTCCATAAATGAAGTGAACTCTCTAATGGACTCCGTAGCTATCTTGGAGGGTGAGGAGATGGTTATTTTTGAGAAAGAGAAGAGGAATGAAAAGAGGGTGTTTCTTGATATTCCAAATGAGTCTTTGAAAGACATTGCCTTGCCAATTCACAAAGAAAGTGATTCTTTGAATACACTTCACGAGCATAAAAATGATGCAAGGGCAACCATTATTGATTTTGTTTTCAAGACCGTGGATGAAAGGAACAAAATCATCTATTTCATTTCTTTTCAAGTTATTTTTTTGGAGGATGATTTCATTGTTGTAAGTGAGGCATTAAATGAGAAAATGGACAAGAGGATCAATAAGGATGTTTCATATCCAGTTTTTGATTCTTTTGATTAGTGAGTTGACCTAACGTCTTGCTAGAAATGTTAAACACTAGTTTTCGTAGAGTTTTCGACTCTACTTCTTCCCTATTTCTTTTTCTTTTTATTCTTGTGTCGTCTAGATAGTTTCATTGACGATCCATTGCAATTCATGACAAATTTCATGCATTTTGGGGTTTTGAAAAAATTTTGCCTTAGAAAATTTTCCAAAAAATTTCAGCATTTTGATTCTACCTAGGCCCTTTCAATCGATCGAAACCCCCTTTTGATCGATCGAAGCCTGCAGGCCCCCATTTTGCCTTGAAAACAGCTCTCGGGATCTCGAATTTTCGATCGATCGTCGGAATTTTCGATTGATCGAACACTGTTCCTAAAAATAAAAAATAAAAAAACCTTACATTCTTTATTTTTCTTGCATTTTTATTTTTATTATTTTTATTTTTTCCTTACTTACCTTTTATTTTGTCGTTGTACATACTTTGTATGTTAAAAAAAAAAGAAGAAGTGAGGACTTCTTACCAAAGGTGAGTAGTGGGAAATGATTAGATGGAGGTTATTTTGATTTGTTACCTAGTAAATGTGAGCTTGTAAGTCCTTAGGGGTGTCTCTACACCTAATGCCATAAAGCCATTTGATTTGGGAGTCATTGACCTAACGCTAACCTTATGAATCTTCTAGAAAGCTTAAGAGATCAGTACATTGCACCATGCTTCCATCTTTGATCCCATTAAAAAAAAAAAAGAAGAAGAAGAAGAAGAAGAATAAGTGCACCTAGTCAAATAAATCTTAATAAAATGTTCATTATTTGTCTTGATGATCGGTACTAGATTTGTGTGCTAGCTTGTGGCCAGTTGTGACCATTTCATTAGTTAGCTAAGATAGTAACATATTTGATGCCGGTTTACTTAAAAATGATTCTAGAGTTATTTTGATTTGCATGATCATCTTTCTTGATGTGTGGAGGACTATATTTGTTTGCTTGTTGTTTAAATTTTGGAGAATTGCTTAAAGATGGTTGAAAAATTGCATACTTGAGGTAGTTTTCTCCCAATACTTGTTTGGAATGTTGGTGCCTCTTTAGTGAGAAAGAGCTTAATGTTTGTTGGTATCATTTCTGGAAACCCTCACGAGACTTCACTCGTCCATTAGGGGTAACCTAGGGGTTTAAAAGGCTTGTTGCATACGCCAAATGTAATCGTGTTCCCTACGAAAGTGACGTTATCATTTTATTGCTTTCTAGTTTATAGTTGTTTATTTCTTTCTTTTCTTTGTAATTCATTGCTAGGGACTAGCAATATTTAAGTTTGGGGGTGTGATGAGTGCCCAAATGTGATACATTTTAGCACTTAAGTTAGGGTATTTTAGTCCATTCATCTATCTTATTTTTCCGTTTTAGTTCTAATTTGTGTTTTTGTCTATTTTA